GATTGGAAGGAACCTTAAAGACCATCTTGTTCCAAACCCCCTGCCATGGGCAGGGATGCCTTCCACTAGAACAGGTTGTTCCAACCTGGCCTTGAACTCTTCCAGGGATGGGGTAATCATGGTTTCTCTGGGCAACCTGTGCCTCACCACCCTCACAGTAAAGATTTTTTACCTAATTTCTGATATAATCTATGGGCCAAATGAAGTCACAACCATCAGCTATGATAGAGTTCTTTAATCTATTAGTTCTATCTTGATTTACTCTTTCTAGGACCAGGAATTTCCAACTATCTTGTTTGCAGAGTGTATGAAGAGAATAAATATATAAAGCTTTTCTCTGCTGAATTTCACAGATGTGAAATAGGCTGCAGTTTTCTTCTATTGATTATACTTAAACTAGAAGGGTAAAATGATATGGGTTTTTTTTACACAATTAAAGGCATTACAATATTATTATAAGACTTGTTTTGCTTTGCCTCCCTAAAATTGTTATTTTACTGAAATTCTGTTCTAACTGCACCCTGAAAATTAATGACTTTCGAGCTTGGTCATGGAGCTTTTGAAGCAGTTGTGGGTCTAAAAATACTGTAAAAAAATGATGCATGACAATGTGAGAATGGGAAAATCTCATTGTCACATTAATTATCTATTGACAGAAGATATACAGTAGGTGATGTAATGGCTTTGGATATTCTTGTCTTTATTACCTCTTGGGGACAGAGTTCAGATCATGAAATGAGTTTGGTGCTCTTGAGTGGACATTTGTCCTCATCACAAAACAACCCCATAATTCAGCACGATGTAACAAAATTGGAGAGCTCAAAATGAGGAGGCTTAGAACCAAGAGCATCAGGGAGTGATAAATCAGGCTAGAGGTGCAGGGCAATGCCTCTTGGGGTGACTTTCACAGCATCTGTGAGACAATGCCATCCCCATTACAAATCATTTTGCCAGGCAGACATCCTAAGGAGCTCCACATATTTGAATAGACAGATCAAACTGGAAATAGTGCTAAAGGGGAGACTGATCAGAACTGGTCTAAGACGATATTCTGTTCAACTACCATTTAATGTTAAGAGAACAGTGATTTTAGCTTCATATTAAAGTCTCATTCTATAATTTTGTCATTCTAGTAATGTTCAGGGATTTTTTTCAGTCATAAACAATGTGTGTGCATGATGCACACTTGCATAAATAAGAGTCCCTGAAGGGGGATGTCTAAATATGGTAACTACTGTAAGTACACTTAATTGAAGCATATTGGAGTAATTGTCCTCGTTAGACATCCACCTTTTGATGGATTCAGGCCAACACTAGTGCATATAGCTTGCTATAGGAGTTAGCTATAAAATTTTTGTGATTTATATGAAATGCATTGAATGTTTTGGGTTTAATTTTTGACAGTTGGTATAATTTTCTCAGTATCACCTTCTGAGGTAGCTGCAGCAGGTGCCTTTGTTTACTGTTTCTACAGGAAGACCCACCTGCAGCTATTTCGTTTTGTCACAAATATCACAATCTGAGCAACCGAGAGCAATGGTCAACTCAGGCAAAGAATTTGACACAGTTGTGGACTGTAAATCAACAATATGAGACACTGCTGAGACATATATTGTGTATCTATTTTATATACATGTATATAGTGGACAAAATAAGGATAATTCATTCTTTTTATTCTAGCTTCTTTTCATTCTTACATCTCAGCCTCAAAATATACCTTTTTTTTGTGTGTAAAGAAATTATTTTCAATCACTTGTAAAGACATCAGATCTTTAACGTAGTTCATGAAGTGCTAATCTGAGGCGACGCAGAAGGATTCGGCACTTAAGCCCTAAAGCCTGTGTTGCAAAACCCATGAAAAATGAAAAGTTAAGTACTGCAATATCCCACCTTGACTTACAGCCTTCCCCGGATTGCTTCTCGACTAGAGACAACATGTGATCTGCCACAGCAGCGAAGAAGGGTAATTAACTACCATATATTATGTATTTGCGAGAGACACTGCGGACACATTTGCAAACTGTTATTATTTTATTTTATTTATTAGCTGGCTTTAATTATATTCCTGGAAGAACCTGAGTTATGGTCCAACTGCAACACAGTCTGACAGTGGAATAAGTTATAGAAACCACCTTCATGGGACTATAGACAACACTGCAAAATAGAGCAATCTGTTTCCTTCTTCGGATCTTCCAGATGTGATTAGATGAGAGACTAGCCAGAGACAGAAAAGTCTTTAGACGCAGAGCTGCTGTTTTTTTAATTCTGTCAGCTAGGTTTGACAGCTAAATACAATCTTCTGTGGTGGAATCATAATTATTAATTAGGTAAAGGGACTGCACCCAGGCTCTTGTGTAGTAATGACTTATGCTACCCTCAGTGACTATAACCTCCATCAGCTCTGCTCAATTAACTGAGGTTAAGCATTATAGATTATTGATGAATTGGGCCATGGTAAATCAGAATGACTTTCCCAATTTAAAAATAAAAGATGGTCAAGTGTTTCAGAGACAAGGCTCAATGCCAAGAATTTGCAGAACTGTTCTCTGCTGTAGCTACTGGATGGACAAATCTTTAAAGATGAGGTTTATCCTGTCTGAATTTAGCCATCAAAATGTTAGGCCGGTTTTTGTGAAGTGAAATATAGTCACTGGAACAAGTCAGCCTGTTTGTGGGGGTGATTCACCATCCAAGCCAGACAGTACAAATAGCCAACCAGAGGAATCTCTCCCTCCATATTAACCAAAGGGTGACTCTAAATGACTAGATGTCATCTTCAGGTTTTAAATGATCAAAGTGGATTGAGATAAATACAGACTTTTCTGCCTGAGACGTACTCAAATGACTGACATTGTTCATGGGAGACGTAGTAGAAGATTCTCAGAGGGTATGACATCTCACTCTTCTTGCAGAGACTGAGCCAGGGCCAAATACCTTCCGAAATGTGGCATGTTGGGGCTGGTTGTAAAGACTTTAAGAACCTGGAGATTTCGTGGATTTGGTACACCTTAAAATATGACTACACAAGCTGCATCTGTTCTACTAATTGGAACATATCCCAGGAGACACTTGAGCACATCTATACTGTCAAACTGTTAAAATGATGACTAGCTTGGTTTCAGACCACAGAAGACCAGTACTTTTGTAACGGGTTGCTGAGCATGGCGCAGAACCCAGCAGAATCCAGGGATCACTTCCAACAGCAGCTTGTGTGTGGTAACCCTGCTGTGAAGGCTAAGAGAGTTTAACAGTATGGAGAGATGCTGTTCCATGCCAGATGACCTTAATGTCAGTGACTGAGCATATTTGATTACATTAATCCATTTAAAGCTTAATCTTAGACTGTATTTATGCCTTCTTCTGCAACCTTTCTTTTGTATTGCAAACTGACTAAGAGCAAGGCACCCCTAAAACTACGAGCCAAGCCTGTGCTGATATAGCATGTCACTCACTAGGGTGGGTGAAATGACATAACCAACACTAAATGATTTTCAATTGACTCAAAGCTTAGGCATCTGCCTCAAAAAAACCCAAAGAGCATCCTTCACGTTTTCTCAGGATAGTAATTTCTATGCTCTCTTACACAGGGAATAACTGCTTCATTCCCCTCTATGCATGTGCAGTATTGTAACAGTCACAGATGTTTCCCCTTGCTATTTACTGTCTCATAGCTGCCATCTGTTCAGTGCAGCCTCCTGTTGTCCCTCCACCAATACTCAGCTCATAAACTCTTTGGACAAGTGCATCTTTTCATCTCTAGGATGCTTGACCTGAAATCTCAGTGGAAATACAGAAAAAATAATAATAGTAATTACAATAGTATAAATGCAGACTTCAGCTTTTGGAGGTAGGAAACAGAAAATCCACTTAAAATGTGTGCACGTGTTTATATTCCTCCGAAACAATCTTTCTGAAGTGGATATATAGCCACATATTATCTAACTTCTTACAGCAATGAAGAATTTTTGACAGGTCAAAAAAATATCACTGGATTCCCTTGAAAGGAAGGGAAGGTAAAGAACAAAACATCAGAATTTAATAATCAGAAATTAACTAAAATTCTTCATGAAAACATAGCTTTTTCAGTTTTAACAGAGGAAAACAAATCTACTACCCCCCAACCCACACAAAATATAACTGATTGAAGGCCTGCAAAATAGTCAGAGAAGAGTGAAAAAATGAATATTTACTAATATATACTTTAATTATATCAATTATCACTCCAGGACAGACACAAATGACATTGACTACTAGTATGGTTTCATGGAAATCTCAATCTTTATTTTTGACAAAACTTACGCCTATTTTATTTGTAAGATTTATAAATAACAACAATATTAAAAGAAGTCTGAGGGAACAAAAAAAAAAAAGTTTGTGAGAATGTACTGTACTTCATGCCACCTTTAGAAAGGAATATTCAAAAGACCTGTACAACTAATTGATCAAGTGATTCGGCTGGATGGTCAAGGACTGTGAACAATGGTGAATGATCTGACGCAATTCTTTTAAGTTGAGGGCTGGATACTACATGGACAGGTGCTGTTACATGCTGGGACAGAGCTGCACTGCTCTAGGGAGGGCTCTGGGAGGCATCAGACAAACAGTGCATTTGTGTGCTCCTTGCTGGAACAGGGAAGTGTGGCTGATGGTGGCACACTGGCACAGGTTACTCAGCGAAGTGGTGAGTGTCCCACCCCTGGAAACATTCGAGGTTGGGTTGAACAGGGCTTTGAGCAACCTGATCCAGTGGAAGATATCCCTGCTCAGTGCAGGAGTTTGGAGTAAGTGACCTTTAAAAGTTCCCTTTCAACATAGACTATTCTATGATTTGAATGCACTGCATGTCTGTAGGACGTGGCTTCTCTGCTACCAAGCCCTGGTGAGAGAAGATCACAGGAGACAGAGCAGTATCCCTGCAGCCTCTGGACAGCTGGTGCACGGCTCACACTCTGCTTGCAAAACCTTTCCTACTAACTGGAAAGGACACAATGAGGACAGGGTCAAAATTGTGAGTCCCCATCATTCCCTTTGGGCCTCATTCACACACACATTTGCACACAGGCACGTGGTTGGAGGCTGAGCACAGTCTAACCCTAAACCCACATGTGAATGTAAAGCTGGGGGTCAAATCCAAAAGTCCTTAGACAGTCAAAATGCCCATTGAAATCTACATTATTCATTCCTGCGACATTGAAATTATCCATGCATGCAGAGAGGAGGCAATAAGTGCATCTATTGTCCTAGAGCTGGTAGAAGCTCGTTTTGCCTTGGATGCTGGTGTAACTTGTAGCATTTGAAGACCAGTCAGGGAACACACATTAAAAACTACAGTATTTTATCCATTTGGACTTGCAGAAAAGGGATGAGAGGGTATGATAAATGACTTTATTTATAGTACAGAAGAGCCACAGGGCAACCATGAACTGGTCCTTCAAGGAGCTACTCCTGCATGAGGGCTGAAGGGAAGGAACTCCAGAACCTGCTCTGGAAGATGCTGTCCCAGTGCTGCCTCTTTGAGCAATTACAGGTTACTCTGGTCAGCTCCTGAGGGGTGGCTCCTGGAGGACTGCCATCAGGTTGTATTTTCCTTTTTTTTCTTCAGGGATCCTTTCAGTTTCTTCCACAGGCTATCCCTCCTCTTCATCTTCTTCTCTACCATGGACAGTGAGGACTCTTTCCTTCGAATTTCCCTCACTAGTCCATGAAAGACATCATCGATGTAGAAGCGGAGGGCAGCTGAAGTCTCAAAAAAAGAGCAGGAGTATTCCCTGGCTAAACTCATTCCTTCTTCAGTTGAGACCTACAAAGAAAAGAAAAGTCCATAAATATACCCTAATGCACAGAGCACTAATCAGCATGAGAGCATTACACTATATATAATCTGAATTTTTTGACCCAGCAAATCACTGACCTTTAATTTTACAAGAAAATAACCTAACAGCACCCAACAGAGAAGATTCAAAGACGAAAGGATCAGATTGAATTCATGAGTTATTTGAATAGAGCAGTCTGGTAGTATTCATGTGCTCAGGCATATTATGTCCCCAATTCTGATGGATCATTTTTTCCATGCATTTCCTCTCTTTAGTGCAGTAATCCTGTAGTTTGGCAGTGCTGGTACCTTTATTCTATAGGCTAGAATGGATGACGAGAAAGACTTACAAAGAATTAAGGCCCTAGAAAATCCTTGTTCAGGATTAATCTAGTCCTGGAGGCAACTTGACTCTTTAAGCACACCAACCTTCATACCTTATTATTTTTCAGTCACATTAATTTTTGAGAGTGTCTTTGAGTGTTTGGTCTTGATAGCCCTGTAATCCTATCATTGAGCTCATACCTGAACTGTATGAAGATCCAAAATCTATTTGTTTTTCAGCTCATGTTTCCTAAGTGTCCTCAATCTCAGAGAACATGTGGGAAATGCATCTTTGTATTTTGAGGAATTGTAAGGGGAGGAATCACCGTGAGGCCGGAGGAAAGGAAGCTCATTTAACTTGCCTGAATTTTGAAACAGAGATCTTATTCCTAAAATTTTCATGGTGGCTACCTCTCAGCATTTGCCCTACCAGCCTGCTAAATCAGCATTTTGATTAGTGTGTGGTTCAAATAGAGCTCAAATGCTTTTCATAAGGACTGCCAGTGCCTATCACTTAAGGTGCTTTTTACACTTTGGGAGTTGATCCAATACCATGCAAGTCCACAGAAAAACACAGAGCAAAGTCTATGAGCTTCTTGAATGCGAAGCCAGCTTCCCAGTCAACAGACAAGCCTTAATTTTCAGTGTTTGAACATAAATATGAATAAATGAACTGTATGAATGACGTGTATGGTGTATATTTAAATTCTAGGTCAGAAATCCCAGCCTTTGTTTTTATTTGCATTTGAATATCATGATTTATTCAAGTAACTTTCCAAACATCCTCATAAAAAGTCAAAACAGTACTTTAAGACAGCTTTGTGAAAGGCTACATAATAGGCCCTGAAAAGTCACAATTGCTACTGTCTGTCACAAGACTCATCTCAGTGCTTTTTTTTCTTTTTTTTTTTTTTTTTTTTTTTTTTTTTTTTGGTGTGTGTGTGGGGCAGGTTTTTTTTGTTTTATTTTGTTTCTTTTTGTTTTGTTTTCGTTTTGTTTTGTTTTTCTTATTTCTACCTTCATTGCACCCAAAGTGTCATTTATATTTATTAGGGAAGTAAATCCCTATGACTCAAGATGCAAACACACTATCTCATACCTACCATAAGGAAAATGACCTTTATGACTAAATAATGACCTCACCTCATTGCATTTATTCTGTCTATCTGTAAAGCTGGACATGGTGAGAAAGAGGATTTGGCATGAAACAGAAAATCAGTTCATTCCAGCCTGGGGGTAAATCTTCACCAAGCATGTACCTGCATAACATAGACCACAGAATTACTCACTGTCACCTTCACATGAAGTCACAAACTTCGTGACATTAGTAAGGATCATTCCTCTGTGCTGCAGGTATAATCTTAATTTAATTAAGAATATTGTGAGGGTAAGTGGAGAGGCTGTATGCCAACCTGAATAATATTTACTGACACAATGAAAGATGGTTACTGCTTTCCAACTGCTATAATTGCCAACCTTTAGCAAAAGGCGATGGGTAACAATATGGTCTTTGTTTTTCTCTGGGCAGCTGTGTAAGCAAAATGCATGATTCAATATGTCTATTGGGCACCATTGAGGAATTGATTGTCTGGATAGAAGACTATTTTGGTTTATTTTGGACTTTATAATGATTTTTTTTCCTTGCTACGCCTTGTTTGAACTGAAGGAGGAATTATTTTTTTATTTTATTTTGTTAAAGATGCTGCAGTTCTGAGCAAATGATTACACAGAGCTACAGTATCAATGAAGATTTCATACATTCATTACCTAAAAGGAAGATAAAATTTCACATAAACTGAAACATCCTTATGTTAAAAACATGGTAAGGTTGTAAAGATAATTAGGGTACAAGCATAATAACACTCAAGTATAAAAATTGCCCTCTTGTTCTGTGATTTCCTAATCCTTACCCATCTAGCTACTCCTTTGTTCCATTCTCTTCCCCCCCCCCTTTTTTTTTTGTCTTTTCTAGGATCAAAACTATATTTTTTTCCCCCCTGCAAGGAAGAACAACTGCAGGGAAGACACACTATTCTCTGTAATGAAACAAGACTGCTAAGGGCTGTGAGAAATGGGGAATACTCAGGAGAATTAAATCGTGCAGAAAAACTTCCTCCCAGTCTCTGTGTGGCTGGAGGTTTGCAACTTGGGCAGATTTGGCTGTGTTTCTACAAAAAGCAACAAAAGTTTGGTTTTGGACTCCGCTTTCCTGCCAAATTACAGAGACGACATTAAAATTATTAATGACGATAGTTAATTTCAAAGCAAGGTATTTTTCTTAGATCTTGCCCTCAGGAACTGATTAACTGCTTCGGCAAAATTTTACGAGCTAATTCAGCATGAGGAGGACACCTGGCACAAACAATTTCAGGACAATTAGCTGATGTTTTTCAGCTTCAAGGCTGAAAACACAATTTTTTGAAATATAATGGTCGAATAATTACCACTACTGCTTCCAGCACCAATGAATGCAGCTATAGTAGCTTAATTAATCTGTTTGCTGAAGAACCTGTAAATATAAAGAGATGTCTAGAGCAAAAATACACATTTTTTCTTTCAGTTCATATTTCGGTCAAGAGGCCAGACACCTATGGAATGAGAAACAGGGGATGAAGCCCTTGATAAGGTGACTGACGCCCGCATAATTCCAGGGATTTACCTTGTCCCCATCTTATTGCTAGAAGAGAAACTATATCATAGAAATCCATCCCAGATCTGCACAGCCCAGGGACTTGTTGACAAATTGCAGTTCTGAGGGTCTGTATCAGTGGCAGATATGATCTGTAAGCTTGACACGGACAGACAGGTCAGGGACCGAGGTCATTCTATTGAATATATATCTGGGAAGCAGAGCTTTATATCTCTTCTTTAGAGTAAACCCCCTTGATTGAATCTGGCATTGTTTCCAAGAGTATAATTCTGGTTATATTGATTCTAATTTAGCTTGTTTCTGTGCTGGTAAACCTTTGGGAGGCAATGAAGGTAGAAGACTGGTGTAGTGAATATAATGAAAAATGAAAACTTAAGAGCTGGCAGAGGATTCCCAGTTTTGATTCAAACTTTTAAAAACTGTGATAGTCTGGGCGGGGTTTGGATCATGATTTACAGAAGAAGGTCATGAAGCTTGCAGGACAACCAAAGAGCAGGATCCCCCTAGGACAAGTCCATAAAATGAAACATCATGAACATGATGTTCCACCCTGGAAAAGAGTCTTCTCAGGTCTGCCTTGCAAAGTACATGATTCTGAGTGCCCATTTGTGCACAGGTGAGTTGGGAGGGAAGATATACATGTGACAACATATAACTCTGAATTATGTCTAACAAAGATATACCTGTTACAACAGCATATGGAACTACAGGCTGAATTTGGGAGTTTTCCATCTCTGAATAGCTGAGAGCAGCTAGAACACAGCATAGCCTCCTCGTCAGAGGAAGTATTTAATGGGCTACAAACCACGTTACATAGCATTAAGATTCCATTTGTAGCTTTTGCAAACCTTCCTTGGAAAATTGCAAGTGAGATTAAATGCGATGCTGACAGCCTGTGAAAGCCATGATGGATGAACTGCCATCTTTAAGACAGCCAGTTCCCCACTAAGGTCAGCTCCTGCACAAAAACACCTGGGCTGGGTGGTGGGTGGGGAGGCACTGACAATCATTGGCCCCCGTGGGGAGAGCATAAAAATACCTGAATACCTGTGTCTGAGAAAGAAAGTGCAAAGAAACTAAACAGATCAATAGTCTGCTTCTGCCCTTGGACTGCCATTAGCTGGAAAATCTCCATCAGGATCACACCCTTTTTGTGCTCAGCAGAGGATCCCAAAGCAGATTTCATTGATGGGGGCTGTGTTAGCAGAGTCAACAATATTGTCTTGGGTGATTTAATGGTGGTCTTCAGGTAGGAAAGAAATGCATTTCCTCCTGTGCATCTCATCCCTGCAACAGCGTGTTCTACTTGAGATGGCTTTTGCAGTTTTCCTCTTGTGACTGGGACATCCAGCTTGCTGTGGAGACATCTGGAGGCTGCAGGTGGAGTGCTGTGAAGTGCTAAGGGTTGCAAGAATTCTCCTAATTTTTTCTTACAGTCTCCTACCCTGACAGTCAACATTAAAATTGTATAATTTTGGATAATTCCATATCCAAAATCCTTTATCTATGATTTTTTTTTATTTATTTTTTCCTGAAAGCCATTAGTTTTTACCAGAGACAGAAAGGTAAACATGTTGCTCAGCAGAGTGCTCATCTAAATCCCATTGAGGCTAAAAGGAGGAATTCCAGTTAGTTTTGATTGTGCTTTGCATTTTCGAAAGACAATAATTTATGAGAGTTGTATGCAAAAGATAACTATTTAAGAGCATAGAGAGGGAAGCAACATATTGAGTAGCCTTGTTTCCAATACAGTAAATAACAAAAGGAGCAGGATAAGCCATGAGTACTCTGAATAATGTCCTGGAAAGATCCATGCCCTTTCCTTTCATCTCTGGCGGATTTTTTTCTGTTTCTCAACAAGTCCCAGTCCAGAAAAAAAGAACCAGATGCCAGATTGTGTGTTAACACCTAGATATCAGTTTAGAGACAGGCAAGCAATCAATAAGAGTGTACGTACATGTTTGGGACTCTTCCCATTACAGCCCATTTCCTCAGCATATCAGGATAAACATAA